GTGTTTTACATTTCAATTAGCGTAGGAAAAGTTATGAAACATTATGTCTTGGCCATGTAATTAATTTTTAAAAAAATGATGTTTATGATTATTGATGAGGAATGAGCCTTTGATATTGAGGCATTTTTTTTTCATTAATGAATATAAACATGGTGGATTACAAAACAACTATCTCAATTCATTTCACAAAATTACAAAAAACAGGGGAATTCAAACTAATGTTTCCTTCAACAGATTTTTCAAGTCTTGAATGTAGACGGTTTAATTCTTTGCTAGCTGGGAACAAGATGTATATTGTTGACTATCTAGAAACTGGGGCAGTAGCACCAGAACGGCATAACCCTTTCATACTATTTACCAAAAAAAATTAACCCTTTCATACTTGCCTGCATAAGAAAAATGAAAATTCCAAGTCAACCATAATATATTTTTGTCCTTTTAAAGTTTTCTTTATCAAATAAAAGTAGTTGTTTCATACACAGTTTACTATCCATCCTTTGACATGTTGATGCCAAATTTTACAGATCTACACTTTGGGGTCATTCGGTTCAACAATGGAGTGCGCTGCCTCTAAGGACTAGACTAAAGGCAAAATATATATAATTTAGGTCCATTCTACTCAACCTCAACCCTTTTCCTATAAATACCAAAGAATACGTTGCCTCATCATACTCAACATCTACACTAAGCCTAAGGTTTAATCTCACTTCTTCTTCAAACACAATTCCATCAATTTTCTTCTAATTAACAAGCAGAGACATGGGCATCACCACCGTTACCGAGGAGATCTCCGCCTCCATCCCTCCATCTAGGATGTTCAAGGCTCTGATCCTTGACTCCCACATCCTCATCCCCAAGCTAGTGCCTCAGTCCTTCAAGAACATTGAGTTTCTCCACGGTGATGGAGAAGTTGGCACCATCAAGCAGACCAACTTCGCTGAAGGTAAACATTTTGTTAGCGATCTAGTTTTAATTACTGAACCAATGTCTCATCAACAATTTCACTAACATTATGTTTTCTTTGTATAATTTAATTTAGGGAGTCACTTTAAGTTCATGAAGCACAAGATTGAAGCCCTTGACGTGGACAACTTCTACTGCAAATACTCCTTGATCGAAGGCGATGTGTTGGGTGATACCTTGGAGTCAATTACTTATGAGGTTAAGTTTGAGGCTGCAGGTGCAGGGAGTGTGTGCAAGATGTCTAGCCACTACCACACAAAGGGTGACCTTGTCTTTAAGGAAGAGGAGATCAAGGCTGGCAAGGACAAGGCTGCCGGCATGTACAAGCTTGTCGAGGAATACCTCGTTGCCAACCCCGATGTCTATGCTTAAATTTATCATCCATGGATTCTTATCTTCGTGTCATTCATATGTGTGATGCAAATTGTTAGCTATAATAAAATCTCCCCAACCCCAACTATATATGGGTAGCAGAAGAACTTTTGATTCGGGTTATAGGTTTTTTTCCTTCTTTTCTTGTATTGCAATTTTTAAAATAAGAGAAAGAATTTGGGCATTTTATATAGTTGTGTTATGTTATCTTCATTCTACACCATATATACGAAATACATTACCAGTGAAAGTGCCTCTAATGTGGAATGTTTTGATTATGCTTTGAGGCATATTGAAATTGTTGATTGATGGTAGACATCGATGGAACAGGATGAAGAGATGGAGAAAACAAAATCGGTCCCAACTCCTAAACTTGTTCCTAAAAAGGAATATGATGAACAAGGAATGTCTAGTTCAGCTACTCATTCATCTCCTTTAGCCATCCCTTCATACTGTGCTATCGATCTATGCCAGACAAACAACTTCAAGATACCTTCTTATTGACAACAGAATTTGCTTTTACAAAAGATTGTGTATTTGCAATAAGTGAAAGTCAGAGACAGACCTGCATATAGGAGTATGCAAGGCCTCATCGACCAAGAACCTCATTTTGAGTACCGCAGTGTATGGGAAAGAAAGGTTGGTGACACTGGAAATATTGTGAAAATTATGCATGTAGACTTCAACAAATAGATGGAGTAGCATTTTTTAAATTTAATTCACATATTTTTTATTATAGATTTAATGTGGTATTTTCTAACTCAACATGTTTTGCTACGAATGTAGTCCTATCATGTGACTTAATGTGGTTTCATATTAATTTTGAGTCATGTTAAGTGAATTAATAACAGTTTTTCAACATTTTTTATGAGTTGAGTTCTATTATGTAATTTAATATTAATTTTAAGTTGTTAATAGTAGATTTTTAAAAATGAAACTTAAACTTTGATATCATGTAAAAATTATATATGCATATTTCAACACAAAACTTACATATAGCTTAAATCAAATTTGTAGTAAATGAAATATCTCTCTTTATATTTAAATTATATATTTTTTTATTACACATTCAATGTAAAATTTCCTATTCAACGGATATCAAGGGGAGAAAGACCTTGGTGGTTTGGTTTCTTGGGGTGGAGCGTTTTCTTGGAGGCGAAATTGCGATTGCAGCTGCTGATGACGGTGTTCAGTAAATGTTACCAGTGGCGCCGGAACTGCAGCCGTCAAGGCAGAGGAGGAAAACGTCGACTTCGGCGAGATTGTTGGACCGACGACCCTTTGTTGCTCCGTTTCGGCTTACCAAGGGGCAGAAGAGATTGTGTGGTTATATTATTTAAAAATCTGTGGGCTTTTTGTTCTGGCCGAAATGGAAGGATGGGTTTGTCGCGTAATTAAAAGCCCAATTCCCTTCTCTCTTTAAAAGGGTTAAACCTTGTTCCAGTTGTTTAGGAATGTAAACCCAGGTTTTTTGGGCCGTAATAAACCCCGATTCGGTTTCCGAAAACCCCTAGCTGATCCTCATCGTCCTCCTCCGCTCTGGCTCCATGGTAGCTCCGAATCCCAGCATCCTGCCATAAGCAACAATTTTTCGTAATTTATTTGTCTCCAAATCCAGAGGTACATGGAGATAGCTTCTGTGGAAAAGCTCAAGGGTCTGCAAATCACTCCTCTTGAGGACGAGGAAGAAGAGGAGGAACAGAAAGCTCAAGAGATTGCTGTGGACGAAGATGACGACAACGACTACGACGAAGATGAAGAAGACGAAGAAGAACCTGTGATTTTAGGCTTCGTGGAAAAGCCAGACCACAGCTGGTCCCTTCTCCGTCAACAGTTCCCTAGCAAGGCTGGGGGCGTCCCGGTACTCATTTCACTGTTGCAGCTGTTTCCCTTTCGTGCATTAAGCTTAGCATGAATTTAGTTTTGAGTTGATATGAAATTCCCAAGCTTGAAGAAAGCATTCATCTTTCTCATTCAGAGCTAGAATTGCATCTGATATAATTGGTTTTTGTGTAGGCTTGGTTGGATCCTGATAACTTACCATCAGGAAGATCTTGTGTTTGTGATTTGTGTGGGGAACCATTACAGTTTCTGCTTCAGGTATGCCCCTTTTTTGAGTTTTTTATTGCTATTTAATAGTTATGGAGAGCCTGCCCGTATGCTGGACGGAGGTTTTACTTGATCATTACCAAGTCTTTATCTTGATTGAGTTCGTAGGTTTATGCACCACTAGTTGAAAAGGAGTCATCTTTTCATCGAACTGTATTTGTGTTCATGTGTCTATCAATGAATTGCCTTCTTCGGGATCAGCATGAGCAATGGAAGCGTCATCATGAGAAGTCATCTCGAAGGTATTGGTTGGAAATCAGTTATCCCCTTTTCTTGACTTTAGTTTGTATGTGCCTTTTATCTCTGATTATGTTATGGCTTCTAAAGTGTGAAGGTTTACCGTTGCCAATTGCCTCGTGTTAATGCTTTTTACTCAAGTGAACCCCCAAAAGGCAATAAGTCTGACAAACCTTTGGCCCCTGGAGGTAACTATTTCTATCTTTTTGTTGTTCATTATTATAAATTTATGCTCAAATCAGGTTAATCAAATCTTCTTATGGCATATATATCGTAATCATAGTTGACTCTGCAGTCATACATCCCTCCTATCAGCTCCTTGAAGTTGTTTTTCATGTATATGTCACACGGTGGGATTAAAAGTAAATAGCTTTCATATGTACCAATCAGAAAAGAAGATGTCTCTTAGTATAAGATAAGAGCTTGTATCTGAGCATGCATTCTTTTAATGGAGGGATTGATACAATGTAAAAGTTAGTGTTACATTCTGCTAGTTTAAAAGTTGTTGCCCAGGTCAATACAGTTCATGTGGTTTTACAGCAGTAGACACGTTGAACCATACAGGGCTTTTAATTCCATCAGCGATTCAGCACTAATAATGTTGTTTCTTGTTTACATGTTCTAGCACCTCTATGTAATTGGTGTGGTACCTGGAAAGGAGATAAATTCTGCAGTAATTGCAAAAGTGCACGATACTGCTCACAAAAACACCAGGTAATTAGGTTCAAGAGGTGTTCTTATTTTCATGACTGTGGGAAATTCATGCCTGAATGGTCACTTAATTCTATTTTTATCCCTTTGCCATGCACCTTCTATACTCCATTTTTGTTTCCAATACCAGGCCATGCATTGGGGTGCAGGTCATAAACCTCAGTGTCAGCAGCTAAGCCTTTCTTCACAGTTACCTGACTCTAATACCTGTAATGGTGGAACTGCTGCAATAAAAGGCAAGTCTAGATGTCCATCCAGGTTGTTCAGTTGGTCTTAGCACTGCTTGTCAATGAAACTTTAAAGTTCTTAGCCAAGTCTTAAATGATAAAGGAGTTACCTAACACCTTACATTGTAATTATGTGGAGTTTAGATTCCATAAGAAATAAAATTGTTCATATCGGTTAAATTATTTACAGGACATTTCTGTCTTTATTGTCTTGAATTGTTTGTTTCAAATGCTCATGAGAGTAAATGTAATCCTATGAGTTCAGATAATGCATGACAAGTATTTTTGAGAATTCTGTTGCTGATTGTTTGTGTTTTCAAACAGCAGTTGCAAGCAAAAGTCTATGGCCAGAATATGAGATAAAAAATGAGCATGAAAGTGAATCTGAAACAGAGATGTCTGAAGATGATGCACAAACCAATAATTCATTAGTATCTAAGAGTGGAATGGATGATTCAATGAAGTCACTTTTGGATAGCTTTGAGGTAGGATGTTGCAACTTTAGGTTATGCATGCTTGCTTTTAGCTTTAATTTACTTATTTCATCTGTTTGACAGGGAGACTGTGACAGAAAGAGTTGGGCTTCTTTCCAAGAGCGCATAGCCAAGGCCCCAGAACAAATCTTAAGGTGATGGAGACTGCTCCCTGCTGAAACTATAATTTTACACGGTACAATTTAACCAATAATGTTACTTTGTCCCTTTTGGTATGAAGCAATGATGTACAACTTTGCATGTTCTTTGGATGATATATTTTACCCACTAATATGAAGGAAAGCTACGTGAAACAAGGAGGCATTGATGCACAGTTTTTGCTTTTATAGATGTGTTGGATATTCTCATCTTTAAGAGAAAATGAAAACTAGCAGATTGTCCGCATAGATTTCTTAAATTTTATATTTCAAGTGGTTATTGGTTTTGGAGGCTTAAAATTTGAATAACAGTTACTGATGTTATTAAATACTCAATAAGTTTTCTGCTCATTACCATCAGTTACTGATGAGTCATTAATGGAACTATTGTTTTATGCAAATAGAAAACAAGTGAAGTTCACAAAGTTGTACAAAAACGGTCAATTCATTTTTCTTTCTTTTACTACAGGTACTGTAGGAGCACTAAAGCTAAGCCTTTGTGGCCCATGTCAAGTGGTCGCCCATCTAAGGCCGATCTTCCTAAATGCCACTATTGTGGCAGTCCTTTGTGTTTTGAATTTCAGGTATGTCACCATCTTACCTAGCTCTTTTTTCTTCTGATGGAAGCCAAAACATCTGGTAGTCTAGCTTAGCTTTTGGTTCCTTGGTATATATACTTCTTTCTCAGCTGATTTTCTTCACGCTACAATTCCAATTACTCTAATCCGAGCTTCCCCTGAACAAGTTGGTTAACGTTTTCATCTGTTTTGTGTTTCTTCAGATCTTGCCTCAGCTGCTTTATTACTTTGGTGTAAAGAATGATATGAATTCTCTCGACTGGGCAAGCATTGTGGTGTACACATGTGAAGCCTCTTGTGAAGGTGTTGGTTATAAAGAGGAATTTGCTTGGGTACAGCTGAGTTCAGCATCTCCTAATCTCCCTTGAACCATCTGTTCAGGGGCATTTTTTCTTCCATTTATTTATTTATCTTTTGGTGTGTGGTTTCATTTCTTCATAAACACATTCTGGTCTCCCTTGAACACATTGAAGCAAATGTATACGTACAAGCAATCCATTTAACTTACCATCAGCTCCTTTTGTCCGCCCAATGACTAGCACTTTGAATTGATTTTAGTTGTGCTGCCTAACTAAAATTTTCTGTCAATTTCTAAGGATGAAAATGTACAGTTTAGAGAATGTTAGTAGAAACCCTATTTCAACAAATTAGATATTGTCGTTATCGAACTTGCTTTCAATTTTGAGTTTGAGTTTCAGTTGTATATAATCCAAAACAGAAACATTATTGTTCATATATATATATATATATATATATATGTATATATGACATAAACATTATTACTAAACAAATTGAGTCCTATGAACAATATTTATGATGATTTCCTTTGAAAAAAGATTATGGTCATTTTCTTTTTAATTTGTGATTTGTAATTCTTAAGAAATTATAACTTAATTGGTAAGGGGATTTGTTCTCTAACTAAACCTTTTTTTTAGATACATGGAACAATGTACTTACGCAAACATGGCGCCTACAATCATCTAGAAGATTCCCCATTATTTTTTATGTAGCTACCACAGGTAGAACTTCAAAGCAGTGCCATCCCTTGTTCAAATGATAAAATTTCTAAGCCATGGCATCTGCACAAATGTTGGTTTCCCTAAATACATAACGGATTTCACATTGCCAATCCCTTTGTAAAAGCTCTCGACATCTACTGACCAAAAATCCATAAGGATCAAGATTGGTTGTTTCATGCATAACCTTATAAGTTGCCAACAAACAATCAGATTCCAAGATCACCTTCCTATAATTTTTCTGCCATGCAATTTTTAAACCTTTAGTATAGCAAGGATTTCTGCTCAAACCGCATGACCAACTCCTAATTGCATATTAAAACCAAATTGCCATAACCTGAAAGTATCTCTGTAAATGCCTCCTACTCCTGATAAACCTTGATGAGAACCCAGAGAAGATCCATCTACATTTATTTTAAAAGTTCCAAGCGCTGGGGGTTCCCATCCATTAAGTTTTTGTCTCTTTGGTTGTAACCTGAAATCTCTCTTCAAGTATGTTGCTGCCTCTGCAAAGTGGTTGGTTAGCATTTCTTGCTTGTTGAAAAGCCAGTCTTGATCACCCTTAAAAGCAGCTTGGTTCCTTCCAAGCCAAATAAACCAAACAATGATAGCAAATGCTGCATCCCATGAAAGGTTGAAGTCTACTTTCACACTGGATCATTGAAGATTGTATCGAACGCATTATAGTAGAGAAAGTTGACGCCACCTCTCTTGCTGCTCCTCGCTTAGCCGTTTGCTCCATATCTAGCAGGAAGATGCACAATCTTAGACCAAGTGCAACACATCTTCACGTTCATTTTGACATCTTGGACAATTGTCATCGCTGGTCATGCCCTTTTCCATTCGAGATACATTGGTAAACACCTTATTATGCAACACTAGCCATAGGAACGCCTTAGTCTTTGGAAGATCCTTAACCTTCCATATCTTAGATCAACAACTTGCAATGGGAGATGCAGTTGATTTCAATAATAGATTATAAGCAGAGGTTGCAGTAAATTCACCATTTTGAGTCTCCTTCCAATGGATAATATCTTTGTTATCCATATTGTGATCAACATTCACTATTAAAATTTAATGTATAATATCTTCTAAAAATATTCTCTGAATTTACTCTTTACTTTATTAACTAAAATTTAATTTTTTAAGAAGAGTAATGAAAAAATAAATTTTCATGAATTTTTTAATAATAACAAGAATAACTTATATCTAATCAGATAAAAAAAAATTTAATTTTGAGATACATATAAATTGACTCAAAAGCATCTTAACAAATAAATAAAATCAATAATTTACATTCATTCAATACTTAAGATAATCATGTGATTATATTATAAAATTTTATTAATATATGAATTTCAAAACAAATTATTCCCGGAAATTAATAAATAACCATCATTTTATTTATTTATTTATTTCCATTTTTCTTAAAAAATCCCAGTGAATGTGCAAGACAAGTCGTGACCAGCCAGCATTGACCCATACCAACCGCAGGCGAGCTGGGTTGTGACCGGCTGCTTTCTGCTTAAAAAGGCCAAAAAGTCCCATTACTCCGGCGTCACCTTCCAAACAACGAGAACGCATCCCAACACAATCAAGTCACCTCCCCTCACCGTCGCTCTGTCTCGACTGCCGCATCCTCTCCGACTCCAAACTCATTCTCCGATTTCAGGTCCAATTCCTCTCTCTTTCGATAAGGTGTTGTTTACTTTGATGCATTCATACTTAAGCGTAGTTTGGCGGCTCGATTGCATTGCAGGATTAGATTTCAGTGAGTCCGAGTAATAATGGCTATGTATGTCGTATCTCGGCGGCTCTCAGGCGGATCAGGATCCACTACTTCCCAGCTTCTTGGAACCCTCCGGTATGCTACTTGCTGGCGATCCTACTCGAGGTCGTTCAGGGAGGAAAAAGACACTTTCGGTCCCATCCTTGTTCCTAATGATAAGTTCGTCTTCCAATCTCGATTTCTGCTCTCTGTAAACTTTTCACCTTTTCATCTCTATTATAGTCATTCTATGGCTATAAAAGCAAGGAAAGTGCTCTTTTCTATTGTAATTTTCAAAGTGTTGACTCCTTGTAAAGGTTATGGGGAGCACAAACTCAGAGATCGTTGCAGAACTTTGAAATCGGCGGTGAGCGTGAACGGATGCCGGAACCTATTATTCGTGCCTTTGGCATACTCAAGAAATGTGCTGCCAAGGTCTTTTTTTTTTTTTTTT